CTGGGTTTCTATAAATCAAGTGTGCAATTTATATATTCTTTTTCGATACGAATGTTTCTGAAAACTTTAAAAACTGTGCACATAACTGAAGTAACACTTACATATACTTGACAGCAGCTAATAAACAATGCCATAAAAAAGGTATGCACATGCCATTCTAAAGTTTATCACATATCTTGGCTGTGAGATAATTGGTTTAGTCTAAAAATTTGTAAAGGTTCACGTTTATTTTAACTTTTTTTTTTATTTCATTTCTCTTTCACAGCTGGCAGTGTGACCAGCTTTAGTGCTGACCTACCCCAAGGCTTAGAGCAACACTTAACCTAGAAAGTTGATAAAAAAGAGTAGTAAAGCCCAGCTGTGGCTTTGGCTGTGGCTCAGGCTGTGGCTTATGTGCTTGCCTGCTGATAAGCCTTATAATGGCTCCATATGCAAGCGGCAAACACAACAACAACTACAATGAACCAACAAACGCAGAACTGAAAGCGCGGCAACCAACATAAGTTATCAAAAGTAATTATCAAACAAACAGCGAGAACAACAGCAACAACAACAACAATACAACCAGAACAACAACAATAGACACAAAGACAACGTTAGTTCCGAAACAATGCTACTGCGAAGCTTCTGTGCCGGTGTGAGTGCGGTTGTGCGTCGGGAGTGCAAAGGCTTTCGGGGCGTGGTCATGCAACATGAGTAAGTCAAGCGTTAATTAAGTCTGACAACAAATGGCCAACGCGCCCGAAAGTGCACTCGAAAAACTAGAATCTGGTATCTGAAATGTGAAGCTTGCTTTGGCCAGGAAACAAAAAAAGGAATGATAGAAAACACACGGGACTGTATAAGAAGAAATGTGAGAAACTTTTAACTATTATTCCTTCCTTATAACAATCTTACTGAGCAAGGTGCTTCTTTCTGGTCCGAATTTCCGTAACGAAACCGTCCAAAACAAAATATGGCATAATTGTCTGAGACAGAATGGGGGCCATAAACATAATAGTAATTTAAATAATAACAATAAATAAGCATGGATTTTTCTTTCACCAACTATTATAATAATAGATAAATTCACACTTAAAGCGATTGCAGAAAGATCTGAAAATATACATTTATTTTAATATTTCCCACATCATGTTTAGCATTAATTTTCACGCACATGACATGTGCGTAAATATGTTCACACCTTGTCCGCAATCGCAGAGATTTATTATTTATTTCGTTTTATTAACTTGCTCGAATCCACACTTAACTAGGTCAATAAATATGCGTATACAGGCCGCTGCTATAGATTTATATGCAAACGCATAAATTTCCAGTTCAGTTGCCACTAAAATAGCTGTCCACACACTTCGCAACAGAAGCGGCTGACGGTGCCGATGACAGCACGAACCCATTTCAAGGACAACGCGGCGTATGCGTAACCCAAGCAACTGCCAAAACCGGCGACTACATAGGACATTGAATACCAGAAACTTGGGACCGCGTGCGTGCCAAAGGAATGCAATAAAATAAGCACCATATTATGCACAGACACACATTTGCATATAAAAAGGCTGAGATTTTCACTCTTATCCCCACAACATCTTGCTGTTTTCTTGCGACTGTCACATTAGCTGTAAAAACTTGAAAATGGGCTCCAAGGATTGGTTGGTTAGTGCGTAAGTGTGGCTGCCAGCCAAATGGGGTACCCAAATATTTGCTTATGCAGTTAAGCAAATGAAATACTAAGTTCTGCAAGAAGATCTGGAATGTCCCTGAACTATCGAAACAGAGCCTGAAGAAATATCTAATAGATATTTGAATATTACTTTCTAATAATTTATGAGAGCAGACTATATAAATTGTTATATTATATTGTATAATATATGCATATTTATTGTATGATATTTAAATTTTCTTTAATAAGAGTATCGAAATATGATCCCAGACTTATAGTTGTTTTAGAAGTAAGAGGATAAGTACCTCGCCTGCGTAGGCAATTTAATTTGTTTGACTTTTAGCACACAGATTTGTTGAGATTGAAAAACCTCCCCATACAAATTTATGAAATTCTCATTTCGAATCATGATATTGATTCAAAACATTGTAATCAAGCCAATCTTCTAGGACGTTTGGTTAGTGCACATTAATGATGTCATCTTTAAATGACATCATTGCATTTCGTATATACAAATATTAGTTGACTTCAGGTTTGAAGGCTTTGGCTTCAAGCCTAATAATATTCGGTTGATTATTCGAACCAATGCCTCGCCCTAATATATTTGTAAATAATATTTTTTTAGGGTTCGGCTCTGACTTATTCAACCAACTAACATATATTCAACTAACTTAAACAACTAAGGAATCTCGCTAGTTCTGAGTATTTCCTAGTCGTATACTTAACCACACTTATGCAGACTCTTTAATTGCTGTGAAGGGAATCAAGTTTCTGTCAGCGCATAATTTATGCAAAACTTTCATAGTTATTGCCAATCATTATAAACACCATTTTACCGTGTCAATCAATAAGACACAGAAATGCAAATGAAAAGGTCAATGTAAGGCGGGGTGCTCATCGAAAAAGGTCTAATCCCGCGAGCTGAATGCATAACTATGGCTTTTAAAATGGTTAAACTATAAATAATTAATATATTTTGTTGAAAATGTCAAATCGCTTCAGCCCTGAGCTAAATAAACCACTGCACATTGCACATACAAGCAAAGAGCCGCTGAAAAAAATATATAAAAAAAAATTTGCATAAAAGCGGCGATAAAAAAGTGAGCCGACCAATTTGTCAATGTAACACCCAAGACTTGAAAGCGAGTCGCAGGTTGACTGCCAGGCAAGCATCTTGCCCCTCCGGGCCCAGGCTGCAGATGCGCCCAACATATGCAAATTAGCGTGCTAATTTGTGAAGGCAGCCTCAAAATAGAGACATAAATTTATCACAGTGTGCGTTGGCGTATAAAAACGAGTGTGTGTGTGTGTGTGTGACATGAATGGGGGCTAGACGCGGTAAATGTAATCAATCAAAGCTCTGAGCTGGCTGCCTGGCCGGTATATTGGCCATCATTGGGCCCAACAAAAAAAATATAATTATAAAATTATCAGTAAAATGCGAACAGAAATTTTAATGATGATTATGAGGATGGCGATGGCGATGATGTTGTGGGGCGTTGCGTGTACGACAACTTGGTGCGGTCTCTCACCTTGAGCGCTTTATATTGATTTCAACAACGCCAATAACAACAACAACTACAACAACTTAAGCAAAACTTGTCTTTTTGGGTTTTTCATCTTCGGTCTTCTTTTATTTCGAGTCGCCGCGATATCAAACGAATTCATGCCAGTGCAGTGGCATCGAAATTCAAAAGAAAAACAAAATAAGATAAACAGAAAATTACTAAACTCCAATATTAGTTACATATGAAAACTCATGCTCCATTGCCAGTTCGGTAAACATTTGAAAAATAAAACATTTCAGCCCACAATACTTCAGCACATGGCAAGCCAAGTGAATGGGGAAAGAGCCGCGAAACGAAAGTGGAACGAACGGATGTGCCACAAACAGTGGTACGAGCTATGCCCAAAAGGGGCACCAAATGCAATAACCATGCTCAGCATACTAAATGCAGCTGGCTATCTTAAATTTATGAAAATTAATAAGAATATTCTATTAAAGATCGGAGTCACGTTTTGATTTTGTCGCCCAGTCATTTCTTGATTTCACAATTATGAATTCTAATACCCGATTACTGTTACTCTCAATTATAAACAACTGACAGTTGAAGCATTCAAACAGTAATGGGAATATTTACCTTAAACTATGCATCGCAATCATCAATATACATACTCATCATGAATATGGCCTGATACACAGCCTGATATTCTGGAAACATCCAATGCCAAACCAAAGAGAAAACCAGTTGCGAATTATAAATCCCATCTCGGCCTTTTCGTTAGTATCACATAGAGATCAGTATATACCAAAGCATTCCTTTCAAAAACTATTCACCAATATAAACTATGCACATATGCGAACTTTAAATAATCTTGTTTTCATTATGTCACCTAACCAGAACTCGACCCTCTTAAAACCACTTAAGATGTAAATACGTATTGGAATAATCTTCTTCAGCCGTTTTTTTTACTAAAACTCGTTCGGCGCACTGTGCGCGGCGGGCACTTAAAAAATTGCATTGCCCGAGTCTGCCAGGCAGCGTCTCTGTGCCCCCGTTTCAGAGTCCGCCCCAGTCTTTGGCCGTTGTTGAGTTGTTATGGCGTCGCATTTTCAAAAGGGAGCCCCACAGTCAACGTAATGCTCCGCTTACTTCCTCGTAAGAGCACAAAAAAAAAAAAAAGCAAAAAAAACATTAAATTCAAGCAAAGGCAGCAACAACAAACTCATAATACACACACATCGAAGCTTTCAATTTGCACAAAAACTTCACATAAATTACATAAGATGACCAAAAAATAAACAATAAGAGTGAAGACCAACTTACAGAAGATAAAAATAAAATCGGGCGTATTTCCAGCTCTAAAGGGAGCAGCCGAAACTGGTTAAGTTTTTTCCCCCTTTTTTTTTAAATTTATTTTTTTTAGTTTCATTTCGGGCAACGCAACGCAACTGACCAAGTGACCTTGAGCCAGGCGCGCTTATGCAATGCCATCTTCAATCTTCTGACAGCTGCTGGAGGAGCTCTTGCTGGACGACACGACAAATTGCAGTTGCCGTGTGAGTATTGCAAAATGTACAAATTTGAAATACAGAAAGCCCAAGATCGCATCTCAAATGCACAAGCGACAGCGACAACAACAGCAACAACAATAACTTGTCCCATAACCGAAAAGCCAGATCCCAAAGCCCAAAACGACGCGCTTTCTGCGCCGGCGTCGCTGCCACCTTTGCTGCCCGTAAGTATGTGTATGTGCGTGTGTGTGTGTGTGAGCTCAAGTGTGTTATAAAAGCAACTCCACCTGGCTGCCAACAAGCCATAGTACAAAGTCTACTTGCAGCGTGCAGAGCTCGCGAATAACCCATCCACAACTTACAAATCGAAAGAGAGAAAAAAAAAAAAGAAAATGTTCAAATTCGTGTTGTTTGCCAGCCTGCTGGTCAGCGTTGCCTTAGCCGCACCCGTGAGTGAAAAATAAAGAAAACGATGGCAAATATTACATTTGGGATTTAATAGTTCCATTTGAAAAAAAAACTTGTTGGCTATGAGTTAGGAGCGCACGCATTTGGGCCGCTTGGTGCTGCGATCTGTTTCGCATTTCTCGAAGCTGCCGCACTTGACATTGCCGCAGTATGTGCCCGTGGAGCCAGCTGCAAATAGAATAGAACAATTGCTATTTCCAGTTAAGGCGCCCGGCTACTACTCACAGTTCTTGCTGCCAAAGGGCGAGCTATCGGCGCCCGAGTTGCCCAGCAAATTAGGCGATGCACAGCTGCGCCCGTTGCACAGATTTGGACAACATTTGCCGCCAATGGCGCTGCACTCGCTGTCATGCAGGCACTTGGGCGTGCAGTTTGTCACCTTGGTCGATGAGGGACAGTCTGCAAAACGAAAATAGACAATAAAGTTGGGCCCCAACTCAAGCTCAAGCCATTATGGCCATGACTTACCGCCGGCCGCCAGTGTAACAGCCACACAGGTGCCAATCACCGCCAGCAATAACAGCAATAAACCAGGCTTGGCTGCAATTACACATAGAGAGAGGGAGAGAGACCGAGAGAGAGTTATTGATAGTGTCTGAAAGTCTCGAACCGTCGATATACGTGCCCATTTTCCTCGTATCTCTAGTTGAACGTCCGCTTCGTGGCTTTAGTCAGCAGCAACTGGCGCCGGTTCGGCTTTATACTTTTGCCTAGGCCGGGCCGTACCGTACCGCCTACTACCCGAACCAGTTTCAGGTTGCTGTCAATTTTGTCGCTTTGTCTCGTGATTAAATGCACAAAAACACCAAGCAAAAACAATGACAAGCTAGAAAGAAGAGGCTTTCTTCGGCACGCCGAAGATTGCATACACTTTTTATACTAACTTTTTATTACCAAAAGATTATTTCTATAGGTTATCACAGTGAGGCTTAAAATGTCGAGATTGACAAAAATGTATTGAAAAACAAAAAGGGTTTCGACCGATCGGTCCCATACACTATAGTGGTCCATTTCGCCATGCCACAAAATCTAAAGACCACATCTGATCATAAAGATATATACTGATTTCGCCAGGCAAAGACTCCTTCGATGCGTTACGGACTCCACTAGTATATTGTAATACTTTCTACTAGGGTATTCAAGCAACGGCATTTATCAATTTGACTTTGAATATATACAGTATAGTCTCAAGTTGCGACTAGGGACACTCGCAAAGAGCGCTACGAATTTAAGAATCACATAAATCATCTGAAGTAGCTTTAACCTCAAAATCCGGAATGTCCAATGAAAATTCCTGAGAAGTTGCTGGCCTTTAGCCGCAAGATCAAGAATTTTCAATAAAAATCCATGAGAGCTATATTACTTGACAAAAGCAATCTTGATAGGCAAGTGCAATCAATCAATGAACACATTTCCTCAGGTGCTTGAATCCGTGAAGCTTTGCATATTTATTATGCGGATTATATATTTGATGTATTTTTTAAAATGTGGGATACAAACCAAATCATAACTAAAAACTTTACATTCGCTCCTCAGTAAACGACTTGTCTTTATAATAATATTTGAAGTCCTCTCTTCAAAAGATCAGGACAGCTGATCAACGGTGTCCAGGTGCGAATACCATATTCCCCTTATAGCAGTGGCCATTAGAGATTGTTATCAATGTGCAATACTAATAATTGCTAATTTTGTTATAGAAACAATATTATTATTGCTCCTTAGCTGGTTTATCAGTCAAGCCTTCAAATTCCGCATAGTGTAGCTCATATTGTTGACTTGATAAACCGACCTGAAGTGAACAGCTTCGATATATCTTTCAATTAACATTTCCGCTCATGCATTTAAGCGTTCTGCCCTCAGTGACATAAGACAAATTAAAAAAAAAAGTGTGTTTTATTTGACAGTGCCGAACAAGCTTTGTTTCCTAAATTCTTGAGAATGAAAAAGAGTTATCCAAACGTGAATTATTCGAGAAACTTCATGCCAAATGTGATATGTCTTAATATTGTAAAGCTTGAAAGATGAATTATCAAAATACGATATATCAATCATTCGATACGAAACATTGATAAGAAAATATAGAAATAAATAGCCTTGTTCTGCGTAAGTCCAAGGCTCTCAGCTTGTTGTCCCGATTATGTTCATATATATCTGACTACTCGCTCTGCCTGTGACACCTGTAAGACAGGAACCTATATACCTTTCTGTCCAATAGCAATAGGTACAAGGTACAAAAAGCTTCAGGCGAAACGTAAAATAAATGCAAAGCAACCAAATCGCAACGAACTCGTTTATGCAACCTCCACTGTGAGAGACCCTCAGTGGGAGGTCTTTTGAAACCCAGAGTGACTCACAGAGTCGCTGTCACAGTCATATTCAAAAATCTAACGCTATCGATAACTACGAATATTAACAATGTAATCAATTTTGTTGAAAAGACAGCTGTCTGTCTGCGTGATACTAGATACTAGATACTAGATACTTGATACTAGATACTAGATAATGACCACGTTAAAAGCGAAATGTCTTCATGTTCATCTAACTCTCTAACTGCAACCTTTAATGTTTTCTCTTACTCGCAGATCGATGACCAATTAAATGCCGAAGATCAGAGAGATTTAGAGGCAAAGCAGAATTCAAATGCCCAATACGAGTTTAATTCTAAAGTCGATGACCATATAAACGATGGAACAATAGAGCGCGAAGAGACACGCGACGGCACTAAGGTGACCGGTTCCTACAGCTACACCGACGGCTTCGTGAAGCGAACTGTCCACTATGAGGCCGATGAGAATGGTTACCGTGTGATCAAGGATGAAATGCAGGACATCGGTGATGGTCCCGTATTTAATGAAAACGGTCAGGCCGATGTACAAGGCTCTCTAATTGGGAGCTACTCGATCAAGCTGGACAACAGCAGCGACAAGCAGCATTACAAGGGCACTAACGAACACCTCTAGGCAATTGTTCAGCATGCCTAAAGGATGGTTTCTAACATTTAGAAAAGAACTGAATACAGTGTAAAATAAAAGTCAGAACAGGTCTTAACTAAACTATGTTGTTATTGTATTAAAAGCCAAGTAAAAACGAAAATCCCTCAACAAAAATGATTGTTTAGTTTGCGATCTTTTAATCTATCGATCCTTTTACTACTATTTTAACACTTTCAGTTAACTATCCTACAATATCCTTGGGAAAGAATGTATCTTTAGTTATATTTGCTTCGACCCGATAAAGTATATCAATCAATATTTTTTTTTTCTTTTGTCGAAGTCGTTTGGATCAGATAAACATATCAGATTGGTACCAGAATATCTATTACGCTTCAAGGCGGCCGTCTGGATCCACAGTTGGTCTGCAAGTATTTGTATCCCTTTCCTATGCCACGGAGTCAATATTGAAACTATCTTGATACAAAGTTGCATATTAAGATCGGACTTTTGAAACATACAGCTTCCATAAAAACGATCTGTCCGATAATATTATATGTATGTTATTAGACTATTATACCCTTAAATGCTAAGTCTTTCTTAAAACCAGTTCAGTTCAGTTAAAGCTACTTTTTTAATATAAAGCATATTGTTAGACAACTTGTATCTATAAAGCATATGGACATACACATAACTATATCGCAGAATTAGTACATTTATAGCACATAGAATATATTCGAGGACTAAACATCTTCCTGCACGCACTCCATCGAATTGTTAGCCGATTGGGTGATGATCAACGCCTTTTCCGAGTCGGTCAGATTGATGAACTTGTGCTTGGTCTTGAGCTCCTGCTGAATGGACGAGAGTAGGTCCGGTGAGCCGCGACCGGGCTTCAATATCAGACTATCCCGGTTCATATGGCCTGCCTGCTGGAGGCCTTCAGCGCAGCCAACCACGTCCTGGGCTGGCTCCACAATCGTCTCCATTTGCAGCGACTGTCGCTTGCGGCGCACCCGCTTCGAGCCACGTGTAATGAGCACCACAGCGGGTGATTCATACGGCAGCGCCTGGATAACAGTTTGCAGCAGCTTGGGCGGAGTCTCAGGCGTTTTGGGATTGCCAATGACAACATCAGCCTGCAGAGCGCTACGTGCGCGTTCACGCTCCTCCTCCTCGCGCTCGCGTGCTGCATTCTTGCGCATTAGTTGTCGAGCGCGTTTCTTGAGGATCGCCTGGGCATTTGGATAATAGGCAATCACCTCGTTGAGGTCCGACTTGGAGAGCACAAACAGGTTGGAATAGCCCTTAGAGCGCACATCGGCAGTGCGGCGATCCGCACCGTTAATTCCTAGCAGACTGATTTCTCCGAAAACGGAGCCCTCGGTTAGCGTGGCCAGGACAACATCGCTGCCCGGTCCGCCCATGACTTGCACCTGACCCAGCTTAACGATGTACATCTCACGGCCCACTTCACCCTTGCGGCAGACAAAGTCGCCTGGCAAAAAGGTCACAGCGCGTAGCTTCAGCACCAGATCCCTAAGCAGAGCCTCCTCACAGTCGGCGAACAGTTGCACCTTGGACAGGGTTTGTATATGCACCGAAATGGCAATGTCCGTCTTCAGATTGATCGGCAGCGCATCCAATATGTTGGATTCATCTGAGAGAAGGCGCGGGACAATTAATAAAACTTTGATTCGAGTAAACGTTAGTAAATATTACCCAACGTGCGTTGCTGCTCCCACGTGAATTGAAACCACATTTTAACTCGTGACTGCACCTCCTGCGAGAGATTTAGACGCCTCATATACTCAAGCGTCTCGTCCTCCAGCTGACGATACTCGTGCCTGTTGCGCGTGGCCGTTGAAATGATGTCCCTTATCTGGCCAATGAGCAGAGCAAACACAAATACGCCCATCAACCAGGCGACCGTCATGAACACATATTCGCCCTGCCGTTCCGGCTTCGGGTTCTTGCCAATCGAGGTCGCCGTCTTGGTGGCAAACGCAAAACATCTCACATATGGATGACCCTTGCCGCTAAATACCCAACGATTCTGGCCCAATCCCTGATAGTCGCTGTACGCATAATAGAGGGCGGCCGTAATGTGAATCATATAGAGCATATACGTCAGCGTCTTGGCCACGCGCACCTGTGTGAGAACGATTTGATGAGTCGCTTCTATGAGATGGGGATGTTACGTTAACTTACGAAATGTGGCGAGGAGATGACTCGGTCCAAAAGTCGAAAGACTTCCCAGAAGCTTTGTATCTTAAAGAAACGCGGGAAACGCAACCAAACAGCTCCCGTCCCATACTTCAGATAGAAAAGCTCCAGGGGTAGCAAAGCGAGGAGATCCAGCTGTCGAATAAGCCGAATGGAAAACAGAAATAACAGTACTTTAAAGAAGATTCTCCTATAAGAGCTGAGGTTATTTGTTGAAGTTCTTAATTGAAATTGGGAGTGGGAATGATGTTGGATAAGTTAGGAAAATTCCATCAATTTGAAAAAGAGAATAAATTGAATGTGGAACTCCCAAATTTGGTTTATCTAGCTCTTATCAAATCGAGCTATGCTTAAAAAACGAAGTCCATTTTCATCCATATTTTAGAAATGGGATAAGATAAGATAAGAAATAACGTAATTACGTATTTTGGGACAACTTACCTTAAATTGCAGTTTTCTCATGTAGTTTTTGCGCGTTAGATTCTTGTTCTTAACCCAAAAGCCCTCAAAGAGATACATGACCCGATGCTTGAAGAATACCACATCCAGCAGATAAATGATATCCGCACAGAAATCGCAGGCGAGCCAAATGTTTGTATTCTCCTTGGTTTGAAAGGGAAACGAAGCACGCAACGGAATAACCCAAGCATTGTAGAGGAACGACAGTGAGACCACACATAGCCAGGAGATATAGATCTTGCCCTGTGGATCCAGCGTGCGCTCATCATTGTTGGCACCACACAGACTCGAGCACAGCCAGACATTAGAGCGCGGCGTGTCCGCCTCGAAGAGGCGTCCGCGATGCGGCGACTGGCCAGCGGGCACCAGGCGCACCTTATGTCCCGGCGATGGATGTAGGCTCTTGGTGCTCGCATGCAGCGCAGCCTGCGCTGGCGGGGGTGTGGGCGAGCTGGCGCTGCTTGAGGAGGGCGTCGGCGGCAGCTCTATGCGCGACTTCACCTTGTTGGCGCGTGCTGTGAAGCGGCGCACCAAGTGACGCACTTGGTCGCGCAGGAACTGCTGACCCTGCGAGTCCAGGCTGCCCGTACTGCTGGGACGTTGTTGCTCCAGGCGTGCATTTGTGTCCGCCTCCACAACGGCGACAATTTCGCTCTCGTTGAGCGAGGAGGAACGCGTGGTGCGCACATTCCGATCGTTGTTCTGCTGCTCCGGTGATTCATTGTAGCAGATCTGCACGTCCTGTTCGTCTTCGTCCTCCATGGGCTGTGAGCTGCGGTCACATTGATCCGGTTCCCGCTGCTGTGGTGCTGGGTCCAACAGCACCTGTCCGGTAGCACTGCGCAACTCCGCCGCACGCTGCTCGGCCACAGGATCGGGTTCGTCCACGGCGCCAGGCAGAGGTGTTCGCTCCACGTACTGTGGATGCAACACTCGACGTACGCTGTCCGGACTGACCAGAGGCTTCTCGTGCTTGAGTATGTGCTTGACCAGTGCATGGGTGCTCTCAATGTTGCTAATCTGACCCGAACGCTCCGCATCTACGCATCCAATGCGTCCATTGCGAAAGTACAGACGCGAGTGATAGAAACGAGGACTATGTGGCCACTGGCGACGCTGCGGCGCCTTGTAGGCATTGATCTTGAAGCTGATCCGCTTGGTTGGGCTGGGTGTCTTGTTCTCCTTATCACGTTTGCGCTGACTAGTTGTCACCTGCTGTTCCGCCTGGCGCTCCTGCTCCTTTTCGCGCTGCATCAATTGCTCCGTGGCGCTAACAAACTGTTCGATCTCCTTGATATCCTTGGAGATCTCCTCCAGGCTACGTCGCACATGTGCCTCCTTCTCGCCCGGCGTCGAGTAGCGACGCTGCGGCTCCGGCCGCGTATTTATCACATTCCTCATAAAAGCATGCTGCTCCAGCGTCTCACAGAAACGGGGCGAGGGCGGCCTCTTAGCCTGCCCAGGTAAGGTAGCCATGCGCTTAAGCTGGCCGTGTGGCTGTGGCTGTGGCCGTGCCTGTGCCTGTAACTCGTCGTATTTAAAGTTCTCCAATATGTTTGGCGATGACTTCAACAGCGCTCCACTCGCCTCCGTGTCGAGCTCCGCGTTGCGCTGGTTCAACTGTGAATAAAACAAAACTTGACTCGCGTTTGTTCGCACTGTCAACTGGCCCCCTCTGACAAGGCGAACCACCAGCGGGCAGCACGCAAATGCAATAAAAAAAAAAATAAAATAAAAAAGAAACTGCCGTGCCTTGCATGCTAATTGCCTCGGGACGCCCGCACAATCATTTCGAATCGATTTAATCGAGCAGCTCACCAGCGCCCCATCTATCAGACAACATACATCAGGCAAGGCGTGTGCTTGTTTTTTTTTTCTTTTGCCCAGCGAAGGACGTTCAACCAGCTCCGTTTACAACCTGGTCTACAGCCTGAGAACTCAGCTGTAAACAGAATTAGCTCAATAATCCTTAGACTCTAACTCTTTTGTTTTATAATTATTGAAAATATCTAATTTTTCAGTTTCAATGCAGCGCTTGCAAAATGCAATCTTCGGCACACCGAAGATTTAATACCCTTGCAGACCGAACCTTTTCATAATGCTCATAATGCTTTGCACGTATCTAAGAAGCACAGGGAAACTAGTTAATTTCGAGTATGGTTAGGATATCTTGATAAGCAAACAAGTTTTTAGTTCAAGAACCTACTTCTCCACCGATCGTTCCTATGGCAGCTACAAGATATGGTGGTTCGATTCTGCCGGTTCCGACATATGTTCTGTATACAACAGAAAGAGGAACGCTTCCAAAGTTTCATGACAACAGCCTTAAAACTGAGAGATTAGTTGGCATAGAAACAGACAGACGAGCAAACGATCATGGACTCGGCTATTGATACCGATCAAGAATATATATACTTAATGGGGTTGAAGACGTCTCCCTCTATGCGTTAACCATTTCGAGACAAAATTATAATACCCTCTCTGCAAGGGTATAAAAACAGTATATATTTCCATACAATAATAATAAATGTTCCTATCTATATGTTATAGTGTTCCGATGTTGATAGGTTGTTGTTCATATATGACGGGAGCATAATTAAACTAGCACATGCTAAATAAGATATACATATTCATATATTCATACATCAAAATCAGCATGTGCGGGCTTTACTATTCTCACATATCTACAAGACCGTAAGGCAAATGTCTACCTTAGTTTCTCGTTTTCTCGATTTTATTTGTTGTACGTTTTTTGACAAATGTTTTTCCAAATGGAATTTTACATATGAATACCTCACTAGCCTGGCACACATGCATAAAAAACTTGAGTGCACCGAACACATGCTAGATTGTTTCTTTGTTGTTTCTCTTACCTTGCGAAAGCGGCCCCGGCTGGCCATATTGTTGTTGTTGTTGTTGCTGTTAAATTTCTTGCGAGTTCACTACCAGTTCAAAGTTCAGGGTCGCGTCGCTTAGTTTGCCATTTGTCGCCTGTAATTAAAGTAACATTGTTGCGTGGCACACGCGGCGTATGATTAATGCAAAATGCCACTGCGCCGTGTCTAATCAGTCTTATCAGCTGCCCAGCACTGGCATATGTTTTACATTATTGATTTTTCCCACTGCTGCAGTTGGGATACAATCTTTATTGTGTATTTCGCACTTGCAAGCGTCGTCGTTCAACAGGTGCGCGCCTTATTTTAATAAGTTAAATACATACAGACCATTTAAATGATGTCTGACAGAAGCGTTTTAATTATTTCCCGAGTCCTTCTGCTTTCTACAAATGCATTTTGTTGCATGCACTTACTACGCAGCCCCACATTGACCGCAAACGTAACAGAAACTTGGACTCACCTTCTTGGCAGCTGGCAGGCAACAAACTAAGCGTTGATAATAAGCTGGCCAGCAGCAATGGCAGCAGCTGACTTGGTCTTGTTTTGGCCAAAAGGATGGCGCACGCGTGGGCACCGTGGTTTGAAATTGAATGAAAAGCTTTGCAGCCTTTTCTAGCTAGCTTAAACAATGACATGATTTTTATTTGGCAATACTCAAATATGTATAATTTCCTAGTGAAAATTTAACAATTTCAATATTAAATAGTATTCATAAATGTTCTCAAGCGCTTTTAAATGCCAACTTTAGTTGGTAGAATTTAAGAACATTTAAATGGTAACCGACTGTTAACAGAGCTAATAACATAAAAGCCCACTGTTAATGAAAAGCTGCCGAGCTTTCGAGCATGCCGAGCTTTGTCGAGCTCTGTAGTCCGGAGTTATACGAATTAGTATTTTTATTTTACAATCTTATTTAGATTAATATTATTTAATAATTAACAAGATTAGATGAGTTAAGAAAATACAGTTTTATATTTTAAACAACGACAGTTCTGTTAATGTTAGTATTTTAAATTAAATAAAAATTACAATTCAATAAAAAACCAGTTCCTCGTGCACATCATTCAAACATCATTTAAAAGTAACTAAATTTTCAGAATGCTGTTGCCCAGTTCTTTGTCAACCCGGCAGAACTGACCTACTTTAACTTATGCTAATTTGATTTTATTGTTATCTTGTTTTAAGTTTGTATCTAGGTATGAACTAATTAAACATGACGCATTAAGCAGAAGTGAAGAAGTGATATAGAATAGTAATTAAATATAAATAAGAAAGCCGGCAAAATATTTAATAAGAAACAATATAATATTAATATTAATTAAAACTAATTTCTCCCTTCAATATTTTACCATTAAAAGAAATGTACAACTTTACTCATCCTCCACCTTCTGCTCATCATTTAAACATTCAAACACAATTTTAAAGTTTTTAAATGTTTTTTATTTATATATTTTTAAATAATATTCCGTTCAGCTCTACATTTACAATTACATATTTGTAATATTTGTTGGTTTTCGTTTTTTTTGTTTTTTTTTTGTTTTTATCATTTCTTTTTTTTAATTACACATATATACTTATGTATATATTAAAATGTATATATAACTTGTTGGATTGTTGGTTTAAACTTTATAATTTGCATGTAAGTTAAGTGAGAACGTCTGCTAAAAGGACGAATAAAGGAATCGTTGGACGCAAACATCTCAGAACTCAATTCTTTGGACTCTGCGCATCATAAACTGATCCTATCCAACGTTTCCCCTACAAACTGTGGAACGCTATGCATAAACATTTACATTAGATGCCGCGACAAAAAAAAATAATAAAAAAAATCCTCATGTGCAACCAAATGGAGAACCAACTGGAGCTCAACTTGGCCAACTTGAGGCATCTGAGAAACGCGTTAGAGTAGATACATACATACGTACAAACCTATAAAGAAACAGTTGCTAGTTTTTGTTTTGTTTTTTATGTTTTGTTTTGGTTTTTTTTTTTGTTTGTTTTGTTTTTCTTTTTTTTTGACTGAAAATTATCTTGTAACTTATATTATGGTTCTTGGTGTGTGTGTGTGTATGTGTGTGGTTGTTTGTTTTAAGTGCATATTTAAAGGTTTAAGGTTTTCTTTTTTTGTGTTTTTTGTGTTTTTTTTTTCTTAATTGTTTTTCATTTGTTTTATGTCACTTAAAAAATTACATTAGTAAAATGTATTTTAAAACTGATGCGAACGTTGCCATTGCATTCGCCTTAGCACATTACTCGCTCTCATCCTCTTCGTCCTCCTCGGAGGACTCTTTCTTCTTGGCCTTCTTGGCGGGCTTGGCGGCGACCTTCTTTCGCTTCTTGGGCGCACCAGAATCGGTGCCGCCATTTGCCTCGTACTCCTTTACCGCCTTATTGTAATCCTCCTTCATTTTGATGGCTTTCTGTTCCCATTCCTAAAAAGACAAGCATGCACGTTAATTGTTGAAAAGGTCAACAGTGGATGCATTACTTACGGTTTTGTCTTTCAAGCCGCGCCACAGCTCACCGCCTCGCTTGGCGATATCTGTGACCTTGCTGCCGGGATTTTCCTTTTTGATCTGTTCGCGATTCTCATTGAGCCACAGCATGTACGCTGACAGAGGACGCTTCGGGCGATCGCCGCTCATGTTTGCAGTTGGTTTTTGTGGATTTACGGTGGTTTAATTGGAATTGGGTATTTGCTCCCTCAGAGTTTTGTGTTCTGTAAACGAATGAAAGGAAATGCTTAGTTCAGTAGCCACAACTAATCATAAAAGTCGAAGGCTATCTTCGAGTAGGCTTTGAAAATGTTGTAGAAACACGCACAAACGTGAATTGTGACAGTAATATCGAAACCTATTCCAAATAAATATAAATAAACTTATTTAACTTTATCCATAAGATTTACAAACGAAAAGTTAGCCAGCTTTTTGTTCTCTGTCAATATGTGTGCCACTTAATTAAAATACTTTGCAGCTATCAATAAACAGACAGGCAGCTTACCGAAAATCCCTTAAATATTCAATAATTGCGTATCGGAATACACAAACGCTCATCAAATATTCGTGCATTTTGTGAAGGCAACTGTACACAGCTCATACGCCCACCCGCCTACCGCCCACACACACACAGATACACACATATGCACTCTGCGACCATTTTTATATGCACATAAGCTCAATTATTATGTGCGCATGTATTTATGTATTTTGTACATAATTTACTCAATTATGAAATTGTGTACAGCAGCAGATAGGAATTCAGTTTTCGGACCAATCCACTGAAGTAGTATATATACCTGTGCATATGTAAAACGAGGGCAATGCACTTTTAAATAGCTGCCCAGTAAATAAAGTGCTTGCATATGTCCTTTGCATATGCCAGCACATAAAGCCCAATATTGTCATTGACTTCCGCTCAATGGAAGCTGTTTCGTTAAGTTGTACAATTGTATAACAGAAATATCAGACGTAAGAGCATAAGTATTGCGGCTCATATTTAAATAAAAAAAATTGACCCATAAGATAGAATATCTCAGTATGCAGCTAGCCATGCGTACATTGCTTGATGAACAAGCCGAAAACTGCGTATGCGTTATGCAAATGTTGTATGTGTCAGCAGCAGCATCATCATCGTCATCGTCTTCATCATCATCATCGTAGTCGTTGTCGTCGTCAGCATCAGACAATCGCCTCCATGCACTTGACCCAAATACTGAGAAATACTGACAAATAACGCAACGCGTACGAGACAGCGACAACGAGAACGACGAGGACGACGACGACGATGCGAGCGGCTCCAGCAATTGGGTTAACAAACCACAGAACTGAGCACTAGCACATAGGGAACTCAGCACGATAAATCAACAGCAGCACGGTTGCTAGCTGCGGTTGGGGTAGGAAGGGGCAGGTAGCAGGTAGAAAAGCTGCAGTCATATCAATCACGAAGACGTATTCCAGGCACTGGTCAGCCAGCAACAATGGTGCATATTAGCTCGATGCAATAACAACAACGACGACCACCTACGCTGTGTGTGTGTGTGTGTGTGTGCGTCTGTGTGCAACAGGAAAATGGCGGCAAAGTTGTTGTTAGACCCACGCGCGCAACTGATACGCCCGCAGAGTTGCGCCATCCCCAGCCCATAGCCCACAGCCCACACCCACACAAAATAGACCCAGGACACAGGAACACCCACGCAATGGCATTGTCAATGTCTCCCCAAACACGAGGCGGCAACACGTGATGCACAAAGCATAAGCAGCAGGGAGCTGCGTCATGGGTTATGCGTTGCCATGCCAGCAAGGGGGAATGGGTGACGCCAAAAGATTCCTCCGATGCGCACGACACATGTCGGACGTACACGTAATGCATGCGTACAGGCGCCCGTACTTATATATATGTATATATAAATACACCATGATGGGGAGCTACCTACAAAATCGAAAGCGAAACACATTTGTCTGACGGGAAGCTGCGAGTGCATGTGCGTGGGCGTCTGCATGTGTGTGTGTGCATGGATTGCTTGTAGGAGCTGTCAGCAACTGAAAGGTGTAGAAGTAGGTAACTAGGCAGATACGACCGCCATTTATGTGAAAAGCTTTAATATGAGTAGGTTCCGGGAAAAGAGCACTAATTGAGCTCGGAAGGTTAAGCTCTTAGTAAGAATTAATAAGGACGTAATTAGGATGACATTTTGCGCTGCGCCAAAAGATATGCAATAAATTGTATTTTTCATGGGGTCCTTAGAAGGTTGACTTCTCGAAACTGTATCTGTTCAAATTCTATTAAGTGCTTTGATATAACAGACGTATTAACTTAAAGATATTTTTCACAACTTTGCAAAAATGGGAAAATTCGTTATTTGCTCGAATGTAGGAACGTCATATGGTTGACAAATAATTATTGAAATACACCTCATATTTATTTAATTTTTTTTAATTTAACTGAAGTTTTATAGCACAATTCCAATTTCTATTTGTTTAAGAATTTCTATATATTTAAGAACACAAAAGTAATGTTTTGAATTGAATTCAAATGCATAGCTTAATTCCAATTTCTTTATATAATATTTGAGAATAGAATTGTAATCTTTTTGAA